GTATGTATGTATGTATGTATGTATGATTTCTGGAGAATTCCTGCAGAAAATTTTGGCCAAATTGTGAAGCCCTATAAACAAAAGCATGTTTCTTATGGACTTATCTAAATTAATTGGTTCTACTTAATTTAAATATATAGTACTTGTGACATTCTGAATAAAAAATGTAAGGGTCTACAACCATCGTTCAGTTTTACAGTGCATCTGAGAAGCAGCATTTTCAGCCATTGTTTCAAAGCAGAAAATAGTGCTTCAATACCAGATGTGAGTGAGCCAAAGGTGACTGTGCCAGGGGAAAAACTCCCTAGATGGCAGGTTTGATGAGCAAGAAACCTTAGGAGGAACCAAGACTCTCAGCAGAGAGTGAATCCTGCAGTCACTGATTCTCTGCTGTGACCGAGAGAAGGTTTGCTAGCACATATCTCTGTCTTGGCCACAATAAACCAGCTGAAAATCAATGTCAGTATTGTGCTGAGAACTATTTCATCTTCCTTGGCGTTGATAGTTTTTCAAAACAGCGCCACCAGAAAGTGCTCACCGATTTCTCATTCTGCTGAGCTGCAAAGTCATATTAAGGTGTATCCAAATGGGATTTCTGGAGAATTCCTGCAGAAATGAAGTGGCTGCACAATTAATCGAAATAATATTTAAATCGTTATATTGATTAGTGTGATTATTAAAGGTTGTGATTAAATGAATATATGCATGTTTTAGAGTGCGGTGCGTCCTGTGGTTTTCAGCCAGAATAAGTTTAATGATGATTTGACATTTGAAAATGAAGAAATTGAGACAGCCATAAACACCGTTTTACATTTGAAGAAATTGAGACAGCCATAAATGCAGATTTACATTAAAATTATAATACTTTAAAAAAAATTAATCTTACAGTGAAATATTACAATAGTAATATTTCTTATTTGTTTGATATTTTATGAAGTAATTATAATCATGTATGTATGTATGTATGTATGTATGTGTGTTCATATATAAATTCACAAAATTTTGGCCAAATTGTGAAGCCCTATAAACAAGCACAGCACCTAAAATAAAATAATAAAATAAAATAAAATAGCAATTTTGCCATTTTTATCTGAAAAATAACAATTAGATGTTTCCCTGAATTGTGCAGCCCTACATAGAGTATTAAGGTGTTTTCAAAGTTGCATTTAATATAAAAATCATAAAAATACTTTATACTAGGTGACGTTTTCTTGAGTAGGCCAAGCTGAATAAGTAAAGCAGAGCATCTCAACTGGATCTGCTAACCGTAACCAAACCCAACAACTTTGTTTTTATCCTACAAAAATAAACATCCTTAATCAATGCATCATGCATTAGGTACACCTGTCTTCCTTTATCATCCAATCCATATTCAGTTGTTGTCAACTGCACAATAAACATCAATTCGTTAGCCATTCTAAAGTCTATACTGTATATAACAAGCAGATCGTTCTTGACCTCACAAAGAAAAACGAGCAGCTTGTGGAACTTCGAAATGAACTTATTAGGAGGGGAAAAAAAAAACTAGAGAATGTGATTGCTATCGTTTTGGCTCTTACTTTGAGCACTGTGATGCTCATTGTAGCTAAATGGAAAAAATGGCACAAAGCCCAGAAACATCTAAGATCACACCATCCTACCGAATTGAGCAACTGAACAAGAGGAGCAATTGTTAAAGAAATGAACAAGACAGCAGCTACAACCCTGACAGAAGCGCAGAACATATTGGATGAAATGAGAGAAACTATCCCAACATCACCCATCGTTCCAACACTTTAAAAGAGATTCTCGTCGAGAGCGGCTAGAAAGAAGTGACTTCTGGGAGAGGCTAACATTAAGTCAAACCTGAAGTTTGCTACACGACATCTGACAAAACCGGCAATCTTTTGCAGTCTGATGGCACTAACTCTGAGCATTCTGGTCTGAAAGTGAAGTACTATATTTAGTGCAAAGCAAACCGCCCACGAAACACCATTCTGAACCAACCAGCATCATGGTCAGCAACCAGAGAAATTCAGGGTGTTCAGGGCAAAATCCTCCTCCAGCAGCACAATGACCTATGCTCGGCTTCAAAACATATACTGGAGCTGAATCGTTGCTTACTGTTACAAGCTAAAGCTGTCATACTCTGTATAAACAGTTTTCTTTTTTTTTTTTATTATTGAAGGAAACTATTCAGCAAGGACGCATTAAATTGATTTAAAGTGAAAGTAAAGACATTTATAATGTTACAAAAAATTATATTTCTGAATATATTTCTGAACGTTCTATTCATTAAATCCTTATGAAAAATTGTATCGCAGTTTCCACAAAAATATGAAGCGATGAAACAATTGATAATAATCAGAAATGTTTCTTGAGCAGCAAATCAGCATATTATAATGATTTCTGAAGGATCATGTGACACTGAAGACTGGAGTAATGATGCTGAAAATTCACAGAAATTGAATTATTAATGTTTTATTCTCCTTTTCGATCATCTTACCCACCATTATGTTTTTCTTCTAAATATAAAAAAAAAATATTCCAGGTTCAGTAAAAGCTCAATCAACAGCATTTGTGCCATAATCTTAATTAACACAAAAAAAAATTTAGACTCATACCTAAAAAGTAACCTCCTTTTTTTGCATTATTACAGCAACTAAGTTGCAAAATTGAACATGCATATTGTTTACTTTTTTAAAGACAACCTAAGCCAGAAAAGTCAAAGGGTCAGATTTACTAACAGCTTGTGCCAACGCAAACGCTCTTTTGCCATTAAAAATCTACTGTCAGTTATTTTTGAGGCTGACCTTATTGCATATGCATTTGTAGAATTTTCCCTTTCAGACACAAAATTCATGGGAGGAGAGTATTTAATGCAAGGTGATTGCCGTAGTCAATTTACTGGTATTTGTGCCAATATTTAACACCCAAAAAAAAAAAAGCATTTTGTGCCAGTGTTGTTAGTAGACTATACACACCTGATTATCATTGGCTCTGCTTGTTTACGTCTTTGATATGCGCATTGTCAGTAGATAATCCACTCCCATCTGCACATTTATATCATTGTGATCTCACACGAATTTGCCCTGTTTAGTAAATCTGACCCTAAATGGTTAACCAACGTGCCGATTGGGCATCACTTGTATTGAACCCGGAATATTGCTGAAAAAACATAACTGATTTATGTTTTTTTTTTTTTTTTTTTACTAACCTCATTGCAAACAAACACCAAACAATCCACAAAAAAATCACCAAAAAGAAGGTACCAAATGGCTCATATGAAGCACGTCGATGATGCATTAAAATGCTGCCTATGTAGGCGGCTCAAGAGATTTTGAAACAGAGCCTATTAAATAGCTTGACAAAAGGTTAGTATTCTGGAAAGGCCCTGCTAGACTTCACAGGCTTCAATCCAATTGAATTGGTGGTATGACTTGCTGAAATTGCAGTCTACTGATGCGCTACATCTAATTTGGACAACATTATTTTAGCATTAAAATCAGGAGGAGTAGCAGGAAGAAATTCAAAGGAATTCAACAGAGGAAGTGCTTTCCGCAGGCTCTGAACGTCAGCCATTGTTGAGTAAAATTCTTGAACATACTTAAACCAAAGGAAGATAAACACAGGTCAGCTTTAAACATCAGAACGAAAAGTCGCATACACACACACACACACTTCAGCCTCAAAGTTCTCCAGAACAGTCAGCTTCACTTTTGAGTGCAATGTGCTTTCCTGAATCTGATGTAAGACATTCCAAACCCCAGGAGAACGAGGATGAAGGGATTTTTACAAGGCGTTTATTTGAAATTCGAACACTTTTGTGCCTGTGAGGAAGCGTTTTTTCTAACTGCTGGAACTCAACATTTTCTCTGATGCAAAATTTCATCTAATGCCTCCAATCACCTAGTTTCTGTGAATTGCCATGATGAAATCCTGTTGACAGCACTGATGTGTCACAGACAAAGACGGCAATCCGCTAGCTGTTATTTCAGCCACACTTTACACTCCAGCATCCCTGTTTCTGTGCATTTATGTAAGTGCTGAGTAAGATTAATCAACAACGTGTAGAATTATTTTGTAACTATGCATTAAAATATGCAAAAAGCTAAGGTTAATCACTGCATAGAATTTGTTAACAAAACATCTTTTTGAACAGGGTGTCTATACACAAATGTACTACCTACTAAAGTGGGTAGTGGTCGACCAAATTTTTATCTTTTATTTTTTTAAATCGATAGAGAGCAGGGTGGCTGACGGCTGATACAAAGTTGATATATATGATATCACACAATTTAATTTAAAGATAATAAAAGCACATACATAACTCCTAAAATGTAATTTCTATTTATTATACGTTTATATATTCACATAATAATTTGAAAATTGCTTCATTAAAATTCATTCATGAAAATTGATTCATTAAAAAAAATCTGTAAAATAAACCATTATTTTTTTTTGGACTTTTTCTCAGAATTCTGAATGTACTCTTTTACTTTTTTAATTTAAAGGTAATTTAAACTTTTTATCTCACAATTCTAATTATTTTATTTTTTTTGCAATTGTGAGTTTATCGCTCACAATTCTGACTTTTCTTCTTAGAAATGCGAGTTTATGTCGTAATTCACATCTCATAATTCCGAGTTTATATATCACAATTGTGAGGAAAAAGGTAATAATTATCAAAAAAGTCAAACTTACCATTTTATTATTATTATTATTATTATTATTCATCCTGTGGTAGAAACTAGCTTCCATAAATAGAAAGCAAACTTTTCAGTACATGTTTCCTTTTCTGTTTAACAGTTCTGTCTAATAATTTATTATCAGAACTGTTAAACAGAAAAGCATCGGCCGATGCGATAATTCAAAAATCCCAAATGTCAACCGATATATTGGCCTTAGCAATATATCAGCCGACCACTAAATGTGAGTGGCACAATCGATGCAGTACATGGACGACTAAAATTCAGCATTGCTTTACAATTTTAGTGAGGAGTTTCAAAGCTATAACTGACCTTCCACTTTGATCTGGTTCCTCGTGCAGGAAGGACAAGGCAAGATGCTGAACTCCTCAGCCTGGTGCATGGAGTAATCTGTGCTTGCCACCACAATCCTGTCGCTGAATGTCCAACCCTGAGGTTCGTCCGCAAGCTCCAGAATACTGCAGTTAGACAAAGTGTCTATGGAGATGGAGGCCTGTGGACGCACTGTTGAAGGACACAACGCACACATATTTAGCATGCACATATAACTGTCATGCCCTATATAAAGATTTATATGCATTGTTAGTCTAATCTGATCTGAGATCCATTAAAGATGCATGAAACACATGTGTGCATGAGCTGCATTTGATCTTATATTGCATTTTATACATGACCAGTCAAAAGTCGACAGAAACGTTTCTCCTGAGCCAAGATCTTATGATCTCGTTTGTAATTAAATGATTGATAGATGACCCTTTAAAAACCAAATTTACTCATAAATCAAATCCAGATAGAGACATTTAACGAAAGTAAAGTCATTGTGAGACACAAGGTTACATGATGACACTGCCGTATTTTACATGCCAACATTAATGAGGACATTATTCTTACATTTATGCATTTGGCAGGTGCTTTTATCCAAAGCATCTTGCAGTTCATTCAAGCAATACTTTTCATATGCGTTTCTGAAGAATCAAACTCATGTTTTTAGAGTTGCTAGGGCATCTTTTATGTATTTGTATCCCCTAAAAGAGGAACTGAACACATTAAATCTGAAGTAATGCAGTTTGAAAGTATGATTAATCATATTTTTATCATGCATTCCTTGTTATGCATGAGAAAATACATCAAATAAGTTCACATGATGGCCACAATCTGTCATAATGTGATGAGAATTTTTCAAAATGTCTTTCAAAGCAAAGACAACCAGATGAAGAATTTATTTGTAATCAGCCAGAGAAACTTTCAAGCTACGTGGCAGCATGTTAGCAATTACACGAATGGCATATTATCAACTAGCCTGGGCTGAATTTTCAGACAGACAGTGGTTTGGGTTAACACAAACCAATTTCAGCCAATAAACAAGATGTTCTGATCCATTTTGGGGAAATAAAACCCTGAAACATGTGACTGAAGAATCCAATACTTTGGGCATTTCTGTGACCTCTGTGAGTTCTGTGAGTTCACTTAAAATCACTGAAATGTGTCACTTATGGGATGTGGACCTGCAATCTTTAAGAGCAGTTTAACTTGATTGACAATAAAGTGTCTCCAGATTATGTTTAGCAGAATAAAAATCAATGTGGAAAGTAGAGCTGGTAGTATATTTCTGAAGCTTTCTCGTCCATTTTTGTCTAAATATGTGCACACTTTATTCGACAAGTAGAAGAGCCCAAGTTGTTTGTAAACAACTGACATTTAGCATAAATGAGGCCTGAGACGAGCTGTTGAAGTGGAACTTACCACAAATCACTTCTAAAGGACGTTTTTACCAATACTCGTTACTTTTGACTGAAATGACTTCTCAAATTCAACATCAACATCTTAAAGCAAACATCAAATGTCATGCACAAACCATATAATTCACGATCTGATGTGTTTATGAGCAAAATCAGGACATTTAAGAAAATAAAGGATGGGATGGGGCAGGCCAGGGTGGGCCTTTATCAATCAAAAAGGAAAGAAATACCAAAACAAATATTTGAATAATTTTAGAAAATCTTATCCCAAAAAATACAACAAAATAAAATAAGTGCCCAAACCTAAATTAAGGATCAAAGGCACAGAAACAATGCATGTTTGATTAATCTATAAATACAAAAGATTTCCATAGACGTCATATCGCTGCTTGCAGCTGCAACGGTGTGAACGTCGCTAATGAGTGATGAAAGTCTCAAGCATGGATGTAGATCATGTTTTATTTGATTAACTTTTGCGATCTGATTCGTTTGATTTGATCTGTACGGGGCTATTTTCATCCATCCTACCCACATTTTTGGCTTTTGGTTTATCCACTGACGGGGGTGGCAAAATGTAGCACAGGGAGCTGCATGGAAAAAGATAGGCACTAAGACAATTCATTTTTAATGATAGCGACGAACAGAGAGTGGGTGCAAAAACTGCCCCAAATATGTGGCACACGTGCCCATGCCGTCCCAGAAGCCACTTAGACGACACATACAAAACAATATATATATATATATATATATAAAATAATATTTCGGCCAGTTGCCAAGTCAACATTTCTCATTTTAATTTGGATTAACTTGATGTACAAAAATGACTAAAAGTGATATGGAAATAAAAATTAATAAAAACTACTATACATATAAAAAATGAACTATGACAAAAACACACAAAAAAAATTAATTAAAATGAAAATGAAAACAGAAAATATAGAAATAAAACTGATTTAAAATAGTAAAATACAAAAAAAATTATATAATTTAAATATATTAAATATATATCGTAAATAGTCATTCACTGATACTCGTACAATTCACAATAACCTCGTACAAAAGGACACCAAAACTGGAAAAAAAGGTGATTTATTTAAGAATATTATAATTGTTATTATTATTTGTCTGATTAGGATTAGGCTGCTACTTCCACTGTGCTGTTAATTATAAGGTTGTAACGCCTCATTTTACTTACAGTATGGGAAATATATAATTGTTTGGTCAAATATAACTGCATTTCCAAATGTTTGTTAAGACAAAGGTAAGCAGCCGTGCCATTTGACCCCATGCATAAAGAGATATGCATACTGCTGCTATTGACTTTCATTGTATGCAAAAGAGCAGCTTGAGGTACATTATACCTAAAATCTCCAATTAGAGTTATAAAGGTTTGGAGTGACATGAGTAACTGATAGAAAAGAGTTTCTCCGGAAGCCAAAAGCAGACTGCTTCAAACATACCGAGTTTGCCGCACAGGAAACGCACGCGGTAGTTGTGGCAAATCCCATCCACCTGCTCTTTGTTGAGGCATACAAAGCCATAGTTTCTGTCAAACTTGGAGAAGACTTCTCCTGTCATGTTGGCAGGGATGCCGTCAAGAGTTTCAGCCTGAAGGCAAAGGAAGACATTTTTAAATACAGTGAAACAGTCATTCTCTCACATACACAACCGTTTAAAAGTTTGGGTCAGTTTTTTTTAAGAATTTAATTATTTTATTTGACAAGGAAGCATTAAAATGATTAAAAGTGACAGGACTGTTATAATGTTACAAAATATTTCTATTTCAAATACATTTTGAACTTTGTTCATCAGAGAATCCTGAAGAATCCTTTTCACAAAAATATGAAGCAATACAACAGTTTCAACATTGACAGTAATAAGAAATGTGTCTTGAGCACTAAATCAGCATATTAGAACGATTTCTGAAGGATCATGTGACACTGACGACTGGAGTAATGATGCTGAAAATTCAGCTTTAATCGCATAAATAAATTACATTTTAAAATATATTCAAATCGAAAACCATTATTTTAAATTGTAATAATATTTCAGAATTGTACTGCTTTTACTGTATTTTTGATCAAATAAATGCAGCCTTGGTGAGCAAACTGAAAACATTAAAATGACCCCAAACTTTTGAATAGTAGCGTAAGGAGTACAAATGGATGTGATTTATTTAAGTATGCACGTTTTAAAATTATTATTTGTTTTTTATTATTTTTCCCCCTATTTTTTTCACATTTAAAACTGTAAACATTTATTCTATGTCATTGTTTCTGCTGTGCTGAACATTATCAGGGTTTAATGCATGATTACACTTTACACAATAAAGAGTATTTTTTAGTTTAAAAACAAAGCAAAACAGTTTTTTTAATAATACTGACCACCATATCGATTATCAGCCATAACATAAAATGTGAAAATTTTGAAACTGCGTGTAATTTGTGTAAAAATATGAGCATTTAATAATTTAGTTAAGTACACTCTCAGAAGAAAGGTAAAAAGCTATCATTTGGGTTGTACCCTAAGGTGAAAAAGCTCAATCGTACATCTTTGCACCTTATTTAACCATAAAAGGTGCATATTAGTACTTTAAAAGTACATATTAGTAGCTTTTTGAAAAGGTACCGCCATATAGTAACAGTTTTGTACCTTTTTTCAGAGAGTGTATGTAGTAACTTAGTATTCATATGTTTACCTCAATATCAAGAGGGTTACTGCACAGACGCTCTGGAAAGGCTTTGTGGAGGTCGGTCAGTTTCTCCCAGTCACCTGACCCCCTCTCGTCATCGCGGTCAAACCATTCAGTCCATTCGGCCTCTAAAAAACCACACAAACAGACACACGATTAAAGAGCTGCCACCCCTCCAGCGCTGCCCGACAGACAGGCTCTGTGTAGATATTAGTCTCATTTACATCTTTAATCTTCCTGTTTTGCAATTCTGCCTGTCAAAGCCTATTTATGCAGAGATAATTACAGTTCGCACTCCCTGTTTTGCCGTCTGCATTGCCAGACCTACAGGGAATTCAGCCTACTTTTGTTGCATTGCATTCAAATCAAACCAAACAAAATAGAAAGACAACTCTGCCACGCAATCGAAAAGACTCCTTCACTCTCCGCTGCCATTAGAAATCTCAAGTGTTCGTGCTGTTCGGGGGATACTTGAAAATGATTAGTATCTATTACAAATTAAAAAGAGATCTCAATGCCAAAGAGCTCTCAGAAGCCACTCCAAGAGTGCGGTGGATAATTTACTGTGTATATGAACATGCGGGAAGTGAACTGTTGTCATACTGTAGTGTGTGTTGTATATTAAGTGACCCACTACTGGCAAAATCACTCCCATGCTTAGGGTTGCACTGTGCTGTTACTTAAAATGTGCAATGCACACTTTTTTATGGGTTTTAGTGGTGTTCTTGAAAGCTGACGAAACAAGTTGTTAGCATAGACATTAAAAAATGGGGCTTAATATATTAATCTGATTAATCTTATTCACAGGGAAAGGAGTGATATTGCAATATATGTTACCTATAACGTCATATATAATTTTCACAGTATGCACATTCTCTGTGTAGATGAATATATATGGTTATAACATATATAAAATCCCCATAATAAAATCTGTATATGTACATAAATGAATAACATCTATATAATGATTTTTTTAATGGTATTATATGTAGCAACCATATGTTGTCAATATATATTTTGATGATTAAGATTTGATGATGGCTTTCCTGTGTTGGCATATTTCCTATTAAAACAGGAAGCTGGTGCAAAAGGCTTGTGAAAAGCCAGTAGCCTTAATTCAGCAAGAATGTATTAAACCGATCAAAATTGAAGGTAAAGAAATGTATAATGTTACAAGAGAGTTCTCATTTAAATAAATGTTTTTAAACTTTCTACTCATCAAAGAATCCTGAAAAAAATCACGTGGACTCTTTTCAACATTGATAAAAATCAGAAATGTTTCTTGAGCAGCAAATCAGCATATTAGAATGATTTCTGAACGATCATGTGACACTGAAGACTGGCGTAATGATGCTGAAAATTCAGCTTTGATCACAGAAATACATTACATTTCAAAATATATTCACAAAGAAAACAGTTATATAACGTTGTAATAATATTTCACAATATTTCAGTTTATGCTGTATTTTTGATCAAATAAACAGCCTTGGTGAGCGTAAAGAGACTTCTTACAAAAACATTTATTATTATAAATATTATTTAAGAAGCCTATTACATACATAAACCCCACATTTTTCATAACCATTAACAAATCTTGCTGGCCCCAAACTTTTGAACAGTAGTGTATATCCAATTAAAGTTAACTTTATTATGGCAATAGCATATCAATGGTCTCAAAGCTAGAAGCATTTCATGGGCCCAAACTTGTTCCCAGAATTCCAGAATAAATTTCACCTACTTTTCCCCATCTGTGCGCTGTAATCATACGGCAGGACTTTAATTCTACATCTAAATGAGTTCATTCTCTGCCCATAATAAGATCTTGCACACTTGTTAACTAAATTATCACTTTGGTGATGAACAAACAGATGGCATCTTCAGAATGGGGATGTTCTGTGCGACTGCGATCGAGGCGCTGGTTGAGGATGTACAGGTGTAAGTGGTGGGCTGGGTAATAAAGCTGCTGGGACTCGGGGGCGGACAGACAGACGTCACGCGGATATTAGCTAACAGTGCCGAGGATTGTGGGATATTGGGAGAGATTCTTAGGGAGATTGAGAAATGGGAGGTGGAGGGGAACCAAATATAGCATGTTGGATCACTGATTAACATTATTTACACATCATATAGGTGAACACTCTTCAAGATTCTGTAAATTTAATGTTATTTAATCTGCTTGTACTTTGTACTATATCTTTTTTAGAAACCTGAATGCTGTACAGTTAAATTAAGATTTTTGTGTAATTAAGATTTGCAAGAACGAGTCCTTACCAGCTGCTGTCTCGTCCATGTTATTCCTGAATGTTCAGTGTCACATGATCCTTCAGAAATCATTCTAATATGCTGATTTGCTGCTCACGAAACATTTATGATTACTATCAATCTTGAAAATCGCTGTGCTGCTTCATATTTTTGTGGAAACAGTGATACATTGATTTTCAGGATTCGTTGATGAATAGAACGTTCAGAATTTATTTGAAATATAAATCTTTTGTAACATTCTAAAATTCTTTACTGTCACTTTTGATCAATTTAATAAATGAAAATGAATACAGAAAATATAGAAATAAAACTGATTTAAAATAGTAAAATACAAAAAAAATTATATAATTTAAATATATTAAATATATATCGTAAATAGTCATTCACTGATACTCGTACAATTCACAATAACCTCGTACAAAAGGACACCAAAACTGGAAAAAAAGGTGATTTATTTAAGAATATTATAATTGTTATTATTATTTGTCTGATTAGGATTAGGCTGCTACTTCCACTGTGCTGTTAATTATAAGGTTGTAACGCCTCATTTTACTTACAGTATGGGAAATATATAATTGTTTGGTCAAATATAACTGCATTTCCAAATGTTTGTTAAGACAAAGGTAAGCAGCCGTGCCATTTGACCCCATGCATAAAGAGATATGCATACTGCTGCTATTGACTTTCATTGTATGCAAAAGAGCAGCTTGAGGTACATTATACCTAAAATCTCCAATTAGAGTTATAAAGGTTTGGAGTGACATGAGTAACTGATAGAAAAGAGTTTCTCCGGAAGCCAAAAGCAGACTGCTTCAAACATACCGAGTTTGCCGCACAGGAAACGCACGCGGTAGTTGTGGCAAATCCCATCCACCTGCTCTTTGTTGAGGCATACAAAGCCATAGTTTCTGTCAAACTTGGAGAAGACTTCTCCTGTCATGTTGGCAGGGATGCCGTCAAGAGTTTCAGCCTGAAGGCAAAGGAAGACATTTTTAAATACAGTGAAACAGTCATTCTCTCACATACACAACCGTTTAAAAGTTTGGGTCAGTTTTTTTTAAGAATTTAATTATTTTATTTGACAAGGAAGCATTAAAATGATTAAAAGTGACAGGACTGTTATAATGTTACAAAATATTTCTATTTCAAATACATTTTGAACTTTGTTCATCAGAGAATCCTGAAGAATCCTTTTCACAAAAATATGAAGCAATACAACAGTTTCAACATTGACAGTAATAAGAAATGTGTCTTGAGCACTAAATCAGCATATTAGAACGATTTCTGAAGGATCATGTGACACTGACGACTGGAGTAATGATGCTGAAAATTCAGCTTTAATCGCATAAATAAATTACATTTTAAAATATATTCAAATCGAAAACCATTATTTTAAATTGTAATAATATTTCAGAATTGTACTGCTTTTACTGTATTTTTGATCAAATAAATGCAGCCTTGGTGAGCAAACTGAAAACATTAAAATGACCCCAAACTTTTGAATAGTAGCGTAAGGAGTACAAATGGATGTGATTTATTTAAGTATGCACGTTTTAAAATTATTATTTGTTTTTTATTATTTTTCCCCCTATTTTTTTCACATTTAAAACTGTAAACATTTATTCTATGTCATTGTTTCTGCTGTGCTGAACATTATCAGGGTTTAATGCATGATTACACTTTACACAATAAAGAGTATTTTTTAGTTTAAAAACAAAGCAAAACAGTTTTTTTAATAATACTGACCACCATATCGATTATCAGCCATAACATAAAATGTGAAAATTTTGAAACTGCGTGTAATTTGTGTAAAAATATGAGCATTTAATAATTTAGTTAAGTACACTCTCAGAAGAAAGGTAAAAAGCTATCATTTGGGTTGTACCCTAAGGTGAAAAAGCTCAATCGTACATCTTTGCACCTTATTTAACCATAAAAGGTGCATATTAGTACTTTAAAAGTACATATTAGTAGCTTTTTGAAAAGGTACCGCCATATAGTAACAGTTTTGTACCTTTTTTCAGAGAGTGTATGTAGTAACTTAGTATTCATATGTTTACCTCAATATCAAGAGGGTTACTGCACAGACGCTCTGGAAAGGCTTTGTGGAGGTCGGTCAGTTTCTCCCAGTCACCTGACCCCCTCTCGTCATCGCGGTCAAACCATTCAGTCCATTCGGCCTCTAAAAAACCACACAAACAGACACACGATTAAAGAGCTGCCACCCCTCCAGCGCTGCCCGACAGACAGGCTCTGTGTAGATATTAGTCTCATTTACATCTTTAATCTTCCTGTTTTGCAATTCTGCCTGTCAAAGCCTATTTATGCAGAGATAATTACAGTTCGCACTCCCTGTTTTGCCGTCTGCATTGCCAGACCTACAGGGAATTCAGCCTACTTTTGTTGCATTGCATTCAAATCAAACCAAACAAAATAGAAAGACAACTCTGCCACGCAATCGAAAAGACTCCTTCACTCTCCGCTGCCATTAGAAATCTCAAGTGTTCGTGCTGTTCGGGGGATACTTGAAAATGATTAGTATCTATTACAAATTAAAAAGAGATCTCAATGCCAAAGAGCTCTCAGAAGCCACTCCAAGAGTGCGGTGGATAATTTACTGTGTATATGAACATGCGGGAAGTGAACTGTTGTCATACTGTAGTGTGTGTTGTATATTAAGTGACCCACTACTGGCAAAATCACTCCCATGCTTAGGGTTGCACTGTGCTGTTACTTAAAATGTGCAATGCACACTTTTTTATGGGTTTTAGTGGTGTTCTTGAAAGCTGACGAAACAAGTTGTTAGCATAGACATTAAAAAATGGGGCTTAATATATTAATCTGATTAATCTTATTCACAGGGAAAGGAGTGATATTGCAATATATGTTACCTATAACGTCATATATAATTTTCACAGTATGCACATTCTCTGTGTAGATGAATATATATGGTTATAACATATATAAAATCCCCATAATAAAATCTGTATATGTACATAAATGAATAACATCTATATAATGATTTTTTTAATGGTATTATATGTAGCAACCATATGTTGTCAATATATATTTTGATGATTAAGATTTGATGATGGCTTTCCTGTGTTGGCATATTTCCTATTAAAACAGGAAGCTGGTGCAAAAGGCTTGTGAAAAGCCAGTAGCCTTAATTCAGCAAGAATGTATTAAACCGATCAAAATTGAAGGTAAAGAAATGTATAATGTTACAAGAGAGTTCTCATTTAAATAAATGTTTTTAAACTTTCTACTCATCAAAGAATCCTGAAAAAAATCACGTGGACTCTTTTCAACATTGATAAAAATCAGAAATGTTTCTTGAGCAGCAAATCAGCATATTAGAATGATTTCTGAACGATCATGTGACACTGAAGACTGGCGTAATGATGCTGAAAATTCAGCTTTGATCACAGAAATACATTACATTTCAAAATATATTCACAAAGAAAACAGTTATATAACGTTGTAATAATATTTCACAATATTTCAGTTTATGCTGTATTTTTGATCAAATAAACAGCCTTGGTGAGCGTAAAGAGACTTCTTACAAAAACATTTATTATTATAAATATTATTTAAGAAGCCTATTACATACATAAACCCCACATTTTTCATAACCATTAACAAATCTTGCTGGCCCCAAACTTTTGAACAGTAGTGTATATCCAATTAAAGTTAACTTTATTATGGCAATAGCATATCAATGGTCTCAAAGCTAGAAGCATTTCATGGGCCCAAACTTGTTCCCAGAATTCCAGAATAAATTTCACCTACTTTTCCCCATCTGTGCGCTGTAATCATACGGCAGGACTTTAATTCTACATCTAAATGAGTTCATTCTCTGCCCATAATAAGATCTTGCACACTTGTTAACTAAATTATCACTTTGGTGATGAACAAACAGATGGCATCTTCAGAATGGGGATGTTCTGTGCGACTGCGATCGAGGCGCTGGTTGAGGATGTACAGGTGTAAGTGGTGGGCTGGGTAATAAAGCTGCTGGGACTCGGGGGCGGACAGACAGACGTCACGCGGATATTAGCTAACAGTGCCGAGGATTGTGGGATATTGGGAGAGATTCTTAGGGAGATTGAGAAATGGGAGGTGGAGGGGAACCAAATATAGCATGTTGGATCACTGATTAACATTATTTACACATCATATAGGTGAACACTCTTCAAGATTCTGTAAATTTAATGTTATTTAATCTGCTTGTACTTTGTACTATATCTTTTTTAGAAACCTGAATGCTGTACAGTTAAATTAAGATTTTTGTGTAATTAAGATTTGCAAGAACGAGTCCTTACCAGCTGCTGTCTCGTCCATGTTATTCCTGAATGTTCAGTGTCACATGATCCTTCAGAAATCATTCTAATATGCTGATTTGCTGCTCACGAAACATTTATGATTACTATCAATCTTGAAAATCGCTGTGCTGCTTCATATTTTTGTGGAAACAGTGATACATTGATTTTCAGGATTCGTTGATGAATAGAACGTTCAGAATTTATTTGAAATATAAATCTTTTGTAACATTCTAAAAGTCTTTACTGTCACTTTTGATCAATTTAATGCATCCTTGCTGAATAAAAGTAATAATTTATTTAAAAAAATTCTGAACAGTATATGTACTACATATAGTCTATATGTATTTTAAAGGGGTCGTGAACTGAGAAATCAAAATTCTTTTGACATATAAGTGGTCATTGTACTATAAAAACATCCTGTAAATTTCAGAACTCAAAACTTTCTTGTTAGTCTAAAGCTTATATTGAAGCCAATCTGTCAAAACAACGGCTTGTGGAATGTGCCACTTTATGACGTAATAGTGTGGATAAGCACCGCCTCTGCAGAGGAAGATCAACGCCTGCTTCTACATCACTGCCTGTTTAGCCCCGCCCACCGATTCGCGCATGTAGTGTAAATAACGAGAGAGGCAAACACAGGTCTACACAGAAATCAAACAATAAAGATGCTCCGAAAATAACAAGACTCAGTACAGTGCCAAGTTGAACGTCCTGTAAGTTTCAGAGCTCAAAACTTTGTTGTTAGTCTAAAAATAGCTTATATTGAAGGCAGTCTGCCAAAATGACAGCTTGTGTAATGTGCCACTCTATGATGTAATAGTGTGGATAGGCACTGCCTCCCGCCCACCGATTCTACATCACTGCCTGTTTAGCCCCGCCCACCGATTCACGCATGTAGTGTTTACGAGAGAGGCGAATGTGCAGGTCTACCCAGAAACCAAATGATAACAATGGCTCCAAAGAAAACAAGACGCAGTGCAGTGCCAAGTTGTGGAAAAACACAGTCTTTGCATCGCCTTCCTTCTGATCCCAACATTAGGAAAGAGTGGATGAACTTTATTTTTAATGAAGATCCAGACCACGTCATTAAGAACTTGGCCCTTTGTTCACTTCATTTTACTGTGGGTTCGTTCACAAACAAAGCACAATTCGACGCGGGATTTTTGGAAAGAATGAAACAGATGATGCTGTGCGACTGTATTGGATCCGACAGTAATGTCGCAATGCACAAGTGTGAGGAACTGTTTTTATTACGTGATCACTATTGCTTTGCCTCTACTTACAGATTGTTTGATATGTACGGAGTATTTATGTGTTTTTAATCTAAATCACAGCAGCATCCATCCATGAAGGACGTTGGGTGTCAAACATACACAACTATTAGCCAATCACAGCAGCGGGCGTTTACTTCCAAGTCTACAGTCAGCCACGACTATTCAAACAGAGCGATCTGATGAGGGGGGTCAAAACAGGACAGAAAATAGCCTATTACTTCTAAATTATGATGTTTTTTTATGTAAAAATCTTGATAACATTATAAGTGAACCTCAGAGAACAGTACAAAATAAAAATAAAAAATGCAGTTCATGACCCCATTAAAAATCAAATATGGAAATATATTGAAATTGGCTATCATTTTATGTTCTTCTACATTTTCTTTCAAAACAACTATTTGTTGCTGGATATTGTCGTATTGCCTGGTTAAGACATGGCGTCAGACATTTTTATAAAGCCCTGCTGGAAAGGCTGGCACAGCTGGTCACCAGAACTTGCTTAACCAGCAGGACATCAACAAGAAAGACCATACCGGTCTATGAGACACACAAGTTAAAGGTATAGTTCGCCCCATTTCCATGTCATTCTAACCCTGCATTATTCATTCTTTCAGGAAACACAACAGGAGATGTTAGACTGTATGTCTGAGCTGTTTTTTTTTTGTTTTTTTTTTCATGTTTCAAAGGTGGAGTGTGATTTATAATGCCAAGCTTCAAAACGAACAAGAACTCAACATGAAATCACCATAAAAGTAGCTCATCTGACCAGAGGTTGTGCTACAAATAATCATTATCCGTCACTTTGACGCACCGGGTTGTGCATTTCCTGTCATGTTCTATTTTTGTCCATCTGTAAAATACTGTAATGCTTGGTAGTTTTAATGTGACACTGATATCTTCTCTTGCAGGAAAAATAACTCTTGTTCTGCAAGAGCTTTTTTTAGTTTCACCAACCGCTGAGTTGCAGGTTCTTGGCTTTTTCATTTTTCTCTGCTCTCACAATGTGAAAGAGACCTTAGATTTAATGAACAATATCGCATGAATCATTCCACCGGACTACATTTGGAAACTCTTGTTTCTCTCCTCAAATCTTCTCTCATTAATTTTCACAGAGTGTATTTTTCTTCATTTTTAATCCACTAGTATCTTTGACTGTGAGAATGTCTCTAAAGTAGAGAAATGCAATAGACCCAGTACTTCCTTTCTAATCTGTCAACATGATGGAGAATGTCAGTCAATCATTTTAAAATTCAGTAAATGATGGAACGAGTCTTCTGAAGTCATGTGATCACTTTGTGAGGAACCGATTGACATTTTGATCTGTTACTTTCATGGTGCTTTTTGTCCATTTCAGAGCCTAACAGTCTATACAATGCTGCCTCTACACTGTTATTATTTATTCTATGTAAAATACATAAACATATTCGTAATTAATGCATGCATTGTATTTATTTATTTTTATTTAATAAAATGTAAATATGGTAATATAATTTTAGTACATTTACATATTTATTTGTAATAAAATATATTTTAATATAATATGAAATTATATGATATATATTATATATAAATGTTATTTTAATAAATTTGCATATATGTATTTCTTATACAATAAAATAGAATATATTTCAATATTATATGAATGAAAAATATATAATTATATACATATGAAAACATGAACATTTTTGTGGAAACAGTCAATTTTTTGCGGAATTTTTTGAGGAAATAAAATTCCATTTCAGTCGGTCACTACGAGTCACGTCAAGCGGCCATTTCCCCTGTGCGCCTCAGCACTAAAAGAGCATTTCACTGAAAGAGCAATTTCTCTAAAAGAGTATAATAAACGAGTGCGTCTTTGTAAAAACGACGGATCGTCTTTTTAAAGATGCCGTTTCACCCGTGCGTTTCTGGATGCGGTCGTTACCTGGCGCCGGGTGATGGTCACGATCGCTGCCTCACGTGTCTGGGCATTAAACACGCTGAGGTGGCGTTCGCGGATGAGTCATGTTCCTATTGCGGGAAGAAAGCAGACTGAGGCGGGTCGTCACACCCTGCCCCGGCGGGCAGCTGCTGCCTCCCCCCGTCCGCCGGCTGCAGCGCCCCAGCCTGCTCGTCGCCGAGGGCGGCCCCCTGCGTCCGCCCCTGCTCCCGCGCCGCATCCGCAGCAGCCTCCAGCAAGCGGCGCCATGGAGCTGGACGTAGGCAGTAGAGACCTGCGTGGAACGGATTTTTCAGTCCCACTCCCGCCCGTTCCCGCAAGATGGGTCCCAGGAGGGCACGGAGAGTCACGGACGGCCCAACACCGGACCTCACTCATCCTCCTCCTTTGCCAGCCGGCAGCAGCGGGCGGTTCGAGAGCGTCAACAAAGGCCCTACTCACGCACCCTCTGCCAACCTGTGGAACCAGGTAAGTGTTGCACCGCACACTCAGACCCCTCTCCGGTCCGCTCACAAGCCGCCCGAGTTGGGTCCCTACGTTCCACCTTGCTGCCCCACTGCGGGTACGGCGGTGGTTCCGTTGGTCCCGTTTGCACGGTATCTGGGTGCCTGGTTAGCGCCACCCAGCCCATCTCGCTGGCTTCTGTGAACCATCAGCCTCGGCTATGCGATTCAGTTAGCCCGGCGTCCCCCCAAGTTCAGCAGCATCCGCTTCACAACCGTGAAGGCGGCTGATGCTCCTGTCTTGCGTGTGGAGATCGCAGTCCTACTGGCGAAAAATGCGATAGAGTCGGTCCCTCCAGCCGATATGAAGACGGGGTTTTACAGCCCTTACTTCATTGTACCCAAGAAAGGCGGTGGGCTATGACCAATCTTGGACCTGTGTGTCTTGAACCGGGCCCTTCACCGGTTACCGTTCAAGATATTGATGCAGAAACGCATCTTCGGGTGCGTCCGTCCCCGAGATTAGTTTGCAGCGATCGACCTGAAGGACGCGTAATTTCATGTGTCGATCCTTCCGCACCACAGACCATTTCTGCGGTTTACGTTCGAAGTACATACCAGTACAAGGTCCTGCCCGTCGGGCTGTCCCTGTCTCCCCGCAGCATGCCTCACAGAGGAACGTGCGCGGTCGGTGCTGACCTGCTCAAATTCATTCAAGGGCAGGACAGCGGTCCCACTGAAACTATTTCAGAGGCTCCTGGGCTGCAGCGGCACTTACACCGCTAGGGCTATTGAATATGAGACCGCTTCAGCACTGGCTTCATGGCCAAGTCCCGAGGTGGGCGTGGCAGTGCGGCACTCACCGGGTCCAAGTTACACTGGCCTGTCGCCAAACCTTCACCCCGT